GCAGCCGCAGCAGCAGCAGCAGCGGCAGGGCTTGGCAGTGGTAGTGGTAGAGGTAGAGATAGTGGTGGTGGTCGTGGTCGTGGTAGTGGTAGTGGTAGTGGTAGTTGTTGCAGGAGGTGGAGCAGACATGAGAAGAAGTACAGCCATCGACCCGAGGGGTTTCCGCTCAAAGTCGGGTTTACGAGCTCGAGACTAATGCCATGCAAGGCTGGGATGGGTGTTCCTCAGCAGCCCGGCCGCATCGCACATCCGGGGATGAAGAATGTTGTTCGGGTTCCTTTAAATTGAAAATATCCCCGTAAGCGTTTCTGAAGGGGTTGCTCAAGGGGTTCTACCGTATTACCATATTAGGTCTTGGTGCTTGCTCTCCTAGGCCTTAGTTGACTGGGGCAGCAAAGGGTTGCTGCGCCTGGGACGTGGCTTCAGACTGCGACTTCGATTTTGGACGAACTGTCAACCTCGTGTTCCGTCGCTTCATCGGCCCCTTCCGGCAAGAGATGCCAACGACAGCCTGGCTAAAGCACAACTGCGCATCATCTGCCGAAAGAGAGCAGAAGACAAGAGGTCTCGACGTTTCGGCGCTTTCACACAGGTCTGGGGGTGCGTCTACCTGGACCCTAGACGCTAAACCTGCATCCCAGACCCAAAACCCCAAGCCTTAAGTGCCAGGTTCGAAGAAAGCTGCCCTAGACCCTCGACCCCAGGTATGCCAAGATGTGGGGCCCCACTCTGAATACGCTGTCTCAGCGGCGAGGAGGTTTGCTAGTCGGGGGACTCAGATCTGCGGTGCCCACTAAGGGAATTCGCACAGCTATACATCTTGGTAGTGGCTCTTAAAGAGGAGCACCATCCGAATCAGCAGTGAGCTTGGGCTACCCATTCCTGGAGATGCAAGAGCAAGCAGAAGAACTCTTGAGCTTCATCTCGGAGCCCCTGGCCCGAACCCCCTTAGAGACGCGAACTCTAAACTCTAAAGTCCCTATAGCCCCCAAGCCCGGAACCCTAACTACCAGCAGGCGGTGACTTCGTATTCGCCGGGGGAGCTGGTCAGGGAGGTGCGTCAGCCTCTACTGCTTGCGAGATCTGCAGCATTATCACTGAACTGAAGGCGCAACTGTTATGACCACACAAGGAGAGCATTCTTGAGTATTCTGGTCTGCTTCACTCGTCGCTAGTTTGGGAAATACACGAAGGTATGGATGGAACATACAGAAGAGCAGGAGGATAAGACGGCCTATCGGATAGCCACTAGAAAAGAAGGGCCGGGGCACTGCAAATAGCAAGGCCGGCAACACGAGCAAGGGGCGCAGTTTGTCAAGATAGTACCAGTAAGAGCATTATTAGCAGGGTATGACGCAAAGTTGCCGGTTCAGTGCTAGCACAAGCAGCGCAAGAATCGTGATGAACCACAGTGCCAAACGAGTATCAATTACAGCAAGCACAGTACCAAGCATTGGTTGTGCCAAGAACGAGACACCAGCAGCTAAACTCAGAGTATAGTGCTACTGTATGGACTCTGCTGGAACGAGAGAAGAAAAGCCAAAGCAAGAAAGGCTCGAAGATGAGCGTCTGACACATGGGTAGTTGTCAAAATTATGGTCCCTTTTGGGGTATAAATAATAGGTGCCGTATTATAATAAGGACTCAAAAAGGGACCATAATTTTGACAACCACCCACATGGAGCATGCAACTTTTCCCCCAAAAAGCCCCAAGACTCTGCAGCTGAGACCTCCGCAACCTTTCAACCTGATCCCTGAAGCTGAAGCCCGAGTTATAGTTCCTAACACATCTTTAGTACTTTATACCCCAGAACCCTATCAAAACGGTTCCTAATACAACTTCAATACTTTATACCACAGAACTCTATTAAAAACTGTTGAGGCCCCTATGTTCGGGAGTGTGGCGAGCCCGCTGGCAGGAGAAGCTTCTTCGACGTCTTTGGCCTCTACGCATCTCGCCGGCGTCGCCCGATCTGAAGGAGGTGTCTGGGCTGCGACCGAAATGGTTTTTTTATAGTTCAATGCCACGAAATCCTGTAGTAACTCCATATTCGGGTTTATAGTTCAATGCCACAAAATCCTGTAGTAACTCCATATTCGGGTTTCGTGCTTCCCAAGCCCAAAACCGTGCATGCATGCTAGATCCGACACAGACCCTAAACCCTAGATCCCCAAGCCCCAAGCCCTACTTCTCAGCTTTCCATTGAGGATTGTCCGCCCGGAATGCTGGGGTCCCTGCGGCCCTCTAGTAAACCAGCCCCAGATCTGGAAATACGGTGGATGATATAAATCCTGCATTACCCATAATAAGGAATATGCCATAATTCCCATAGTTTAGGGTCCTTAAGGTGGTGCAGGATTTATATCATCAACAGTATGATCTACTCTCGTAGAGTTAGCCACTGGGATACGAGATCTCTTCATATTCGATGGAGTAGCCGTGCGCAAAACCCCCAGCTCGCCTTGTTTCTAGTATCCTACCTCGGAACTTCGGTAGTTCAGTCCCGGTCCCCCTGCGCTCCACAAACCTACAAGTATGCAGTAGATAACTTGGCCCGCAAGTACCCACCCAGGAAGCCGCTTAAGGCCCAAGTATAGACCCTAAAACCTAAACCCCAAAGCCCTAAAGTCTTACGAAGAGGGTGCTTAAAACAAAAAGTGGGGGTTACCGAAAGTAGGGCCCCCAAAATAAGGTACCCCGTTGTTTTTTTAGGATCCTTACTATAAGGACCCTCAAAAAATAAGGCGCCCCTTTGTTTCAGAAACTCCCCAGTCTCAGATCCTAAACCCTAAACCCTAAACCCAGTCTCAGATCCTGCTCACGATGCGGGCCGGCCAGAGCCACACGCTGCAACGAAACGCGGGCGCGACGACGCTACGGGGCGCGGAGGCCCTCGGAAGATGCAAAATTGAGCACATTGAGTAATAATAATATAGGGGCCTGAATAATAATAGTAATAATAATAACAATAATAGTAGTAATAATATCACTATAGGGGCCTCTTGTATCATGGGCCCCCAAAAGCCTTATTCTAACTATTAAGGCCCCTAAATTAGTGACCAGGGTCCATGGTTCAAATGTTGAGGCTTCAGGTTATGTTGGGTTTAAACAGGGTGTAGGATTCGTAGATAATCTCGGTCTTGGGGCTCAGGGCATCGGAATTGCGCGCGTGTTTGTGGTGGAAAAGGGATGTGGGCGTTTTGTTGTTCCTTTATCCCTCCTCCCTCCCTCCCTCCCTTCCTCCCTCCCTTACCTCCCACTCGCTGCCTCCCTCCCTCCATCCTTCCACCATCCATCATACATCATATATCAACAAGTATCAACCGTTATCCAACATCCACCATCCGTCATGCACCTTTTTGTCTTCGTCCTCAGATCATCACTGTTGTTGTGATTGGTGTGTTAATGCTGGTCTTTTTGGGCACTGTGGCAGGATAGCCTCAGTGGATACTGGTCCATGTCTCTGATACCATGGCTGGGACAGGTCTTATCATTGCAAACATGTTTTCTGTCTCGGCTGTGCTATGGTAACTCCTCTGTCATCTCACGATTGGTTTTTACTACTCTGCTGCGATTTTGGATTTGTCGTGGGGTGCCGGAGATCATCGGAGTTCCTTGTGTTTGACGATACTGGGTCTAGAGTAGCATAGAGTGTGGGAAGCATTCCTTCCCCGTGTCATCTAACCCAGAAGAAGACAGGCCACCCTGCAATGACGCTTGACAGTAGGCAGTAGGCATGGATGATCACATGGACAAGTTCCAAGAGAAGATCATTTGTCAGTTACATACTGAACCCCAAACAGGAACCATCGAAACCAACAAGCCCGACACGTACGCAAAATCAATCGCTGAAGCCAGGCCTTCCCCAAGATCCTCTGACACCCCCGCCCCAATGAAGGTCAGCCTGAAACGTGGGGATGCTCCAGTCTCAGTCGCTTTGGGTCTTTGTCAGAATTGCATCGCCGTCAGCGCTTCTTGCTCAGACTCCTCTGATGTATTCAGAGGGTACCTATGCTGCTATACAGCAGTCGAATCTCGTCCCTAAGCCACTACACCCATGGCCGCATACTTGATGACAGCCCAGGTTCTCGAGTTTGTCAGCGGAGCAGCCGGACTGCATGTGGTTTGCAGGGAGACGCTGCTTTACGCCTGGCACTGAGGCTTCGAATTCGTGAGCCCTTCGGTTCGCTAAGAAGGGACCAAGGATTCCATCTAGGAATCATATACAGAGACCGACCTTGAGCAGTTCATGTCCTTCCGTCTTCTGCAGAGACCAAAGACCGTGCGGCTTCTCCGTTGTAGAACGAAGAGAGGGGCCTAAACCCTAGACCCTAAACCCAAACCCTAAACCTTACACCGTAAACCCTAAACCCTGAACCCTGAACCCTGAACCCTAAACCCTAAACCCTAAACCCTAAATCCTAAGCCCTAAACCTTAAACCCGAGGTCGGACCCAACCTGACGCCGGGCCGGAACCGAAACTTCGGGAAGTTGCTCCTTCGGATGGGCTTGCCGGCGCGAGAGGTTGAAAACATCCGTGGGCGCTTTTTTCACGGCTAGTGGTAACAACAGTAAAGGGTACTGTAGCGGCCTTAGTAATTACCTATATTATGTTGGGGGCTCCTTATTAGAAGTATACTATAAAGGGCCCCAAAACCCTATTCTAATGATTAAGAACAACAATAAAACTTAGAGAAACATAATATCCATATTAGTGGTACCACAAATTCATGATGGTAGTAGTCGTCATAATAGGAGGACTTTGGCGCGGCTGATGCACATCACTCCTCAGACTGAAACGGTCAGAAGCATTGCTGATGTTGTTCCCTTTCTTGCCATGATCGCGGAGATGATGCCAAGCCTCAGGCCCTTGACCCCAAGTCCTGTCAAACTCACTCAAGGTCTTCACATGAGGATTTTTTAAGCGTCTGCATCAGAGTCGATCTTCGTATCATCGTGGTATGCTCCGCATCATGAAGCTCCAACGTCCCTAACTCCAGAGAAGACGGGATCCCAAGTTCGGAGCATCTCTGTCCACGGACCTTCACCCCCCTACAGCCCACTCAACCCCTAATATAGGGGCCTGAATAACTTCCTATCCTATTTTGGGGGGTTCCTTATTATTATTTTTATGGTATAGTATACCCCAAAACCTATTCTTATTATTAAGCCCCTATATTACCAAGTCAGGTGCCTAACTGGCTTGAAGGCTCCGCCGTCAGAGACCTTCGATGTGGAGGCGGCACAACAGCTTCCTTGGATCCTTACGGCTTTCGTCGTCTTTACTACCAGCTTACGCAAGGGCCAAGGGCTTCAGGGCTTAGAGCTCTAGGCGTTTTAGGGCTGTTTTACAGATTGTGAGCATGTTTATCATCCAATATCGTAAACAGTGCGATTGTCATCGGAATCATATCCAGTATTGCTACTATTCGTGTTTTGCTGGTGCTTACTGACCCGTTAAAGCTAGCGATGAAGGCTACCTTATCAGATGATTCAAGTCTTGACAATTCACACTGGGGTTTTTCTATGGTACATTTATCACCATCGTAGTTTTGCTATAAGTGGCTTTCCTTCCATACTTCCTTCCTCAGCCCTGCACCCGCAACCCTAAACCCTGAGCTCTCGACTTCCCATTTTGCCCTAAACCCTAAACCCAAAACCCAAAACCCTACACCCTAAACGCCTAAACCCTAAACCCTGAGCTCTCGACTTCCCATTTTGCCATCCTTGACAGGTGGCCGGAGGTAAGGACACCGTTCTTCCCTCAGATTCCTCGGTTCCAGGGAGTCCAAGTAGGGCTATCTGACATAACTACATGCTAATACCTATAGTAGCAATAGCAATAAGAATGGTATGAAGAAGCCTACTAAGAAAATGAAAGTAGCAATACCTATAGTAGCAATAACAATAATAACGGTAGGAAGAAACCTACTAAGAAAGTAACACTCGCAAAGCAAGAAATAGTAAACATGATATTGTAGTTGTGATGGTCATCATCGTGGTCATAGTAATAACAGCAAGAGTCTTGCTGGCTCATTCGGCTTATTCAGGGGTCCGTGGATGAAGGATCCTACTATTTTCAAGCCCCCCCCCTTTTCGCTGAAACTCCCCAAAAGTTTCAAGCTCCGTTCGGCCCAGGGTAAGCTTCAGCAGGAGCAGCTGAGGCGCATGTTTCTTGTCGCTGAAGCGGACCGTGGCCACTGTCTCTCGCAAGTAGCTCTAGGTACTTCTATGCATCTTGTCCAGGTTTTTGAATGTGGGTAGTTCTCTAAATTAGGGTCCCTTGTTAGGTCCCCAATATTATTAACGGACATCAGTCGGTCGTGTCCCCAATATAGTGCGGCACTCTTATAGAAAGGACCCAAAAAGGGACCCTAATTTAGAGAACTACCCATGTAGACCGTACATGGTCGGGTTCTCATCGCCACCACACCGAAGAGGAATCCTCAAGTCAATGAAGATCAGTGCAGCCCGCCGTGGCCAGGCCCCAGATCATGGCTCCCGTGAGGCGCGTTGCGCATCTTCGCTTCGCAGAGAAAGCCCTGAGGGGGTAATAAAGTATGTTTTACATGCACAGTGATTGCGACGACATCGTAGCATGAGAGTACTTGCTTAACGTAAGCCTGAAACCCTGAACCCTAATTACCCCTAAACCCTAAATCCTAAAC